GAATTTGTCACTTCAAGTAAGGTTTTCAAAACTGTCATATTTTGTGTATTTTAACATGTTCGATCGTAAAATCATCGAATTTGTGACTTCAAGTAAGTTTCTCAAAACTGTTATATTTTGTGTATTTTAACATGTTCGATCGTAAGATCATCGAATTTGTGACTTCAAGTAAGTCTCTCAAAGCTGTTATATTTTGTGTATTTTAACATGTTCGATCGTAAAATCATCGCATTTGTGACTTCAAGTAAGTTTCTCAAAACTGTTATATTTTGTGTATTTTAACATGTTCGATCGTAAAATCATCGAATTTGTGACTTCAAGTAAGTTTCTCCAAACTGTTATATTTTGTATTTTTTAACATGTTTGATCGTAAAATCATCGAATTTGTGACTTCAAGTAAGTTTTTCAAAACTGTTATATTTTGTGTATTTTAACATGTTCGATCGTAAATCATCGAATTTGATACTTCAAGTAAGTTTCTCAAAACTGTTATATTTTGTATATTTTAACATGTTCGTTCGTAAAATCATCGAATTTGTCACTTCAAGTAAGTTTTTCAAAACTGTTATATTTTGTGTATTTTAACATGTACGATCGTAAAATCATCGAATTTGTGACTTCAAGTAAGTTTCTCAAAGCTGTTATATTTTGTGTACTTTAACATGTTCGATCGTAAAATCATCGCATTTGTGACTTCAAGTAAGTTTCTCAAAACTGTTATATTTTGTGTATTTTAACATGTTCGTTCGTAAAATCATCGAATTTGTGACTTCAAGTAAGTTTTTCAAAACTGTTATATTTTGTGTATTTTATCATGTTCGATCGTAAAACCATCGAATTTGTGACTTCAAGTAAGTTTTTCAGAACTGTTATATTTTGTGTATTTTAACATGTTCGTTCGTAAAATCATCGAATTTGTGACTTCAAGTAAGTTTCTCAAAACTGTTATATTTTGTGTATTTTAACATGTTCGATCGTAAGATCATCGAATTTGTGACTTCAAGTAAGTTTTTCAAAACTGTTATATTTTGTGTATTTTAACATGTTCGATCGCAAAATCATCGAATTTGTGACTTCAAGTAAGTTTCTCAAAACTGTTATATTTTGTGTATTTTAACATGTTCAATCGTAAAATCATCGAATTTGTGACTTCAAGTAAGTTTCTCAAAACTGTTATATTTTGTGTATTTTAACATGTTCGATCGTAAGATCATCGAATTTGTGACTTCAAGTAAGTCTCTCAAAGCTGTTATATTTTGTGTATTTTAACATGTTCGATCGTAAAATCATCGCATTTGTGACTTCAAGTAAGTTTCTCAAAACTGTTATATTTTGTGTATTTTAACATGTTCGATCGTAAAATCATCGAATTTGTGACTTCAAGTAAGTTTCTCCAAACTGTTATATTTTGTATTTTTTAACATGTTTGATCGTAAAATCATCGAATTTGTGACTTCAAGTAAGTTTTTCAAAACTGTTATATTTTGTGTATTTTAACATGTTCGATCGTAAATCATCGAATTTTGTGACTTCAAGTAAGTTTCTCCAAAAACTGTCATAACCTGATTTTGTGCCTACGTTTTAAACATGTTCGATCGTAAAATCATCGAATTTGTGACTTCAAGTAAGTTTTTCAAAACTGTTATGTTTTGTATATTTTAGCATGAACGATCGTAAAATCATCGAATTTGTGACTTCAAGTAAGTTTCTCAAAACTGTTATATTTTGTATATTTTAACCTGAACGATCGTAAAATCATCGAATTTGTGACTTCAAGTAATTTTCTCAAAACTGTTATATTTTGCATATTTTAACATGTACGATCGTAAAACCATCGAATTCGTGACTTCAAGTAAGTTTCTCAAAACTGTTATATTTTGCATATTTTAACATGTACGATCGTAAAACCATCGAATTTGGTGA